TAGTGTACTGTAGTATGTTGAAAATATGATTAAAGCATATATGTAATATAGTAAGTCAACAAGTTAGAAAAATACATAATTTAGATATGAGAAAAAACAGCATAGTATTGTACCTCAAACATTTGAGAAAAAAAACATGGTAGCATACAGCTCTGGAAACATTGAGAGACTATTCCAAATTGTTCTTAAATCTCAATCTCGACATATTTGGCCGCCATTTCATTCCAGTGTCTTTTGAAATCCAACACAGGGAAATGTAGTTGGTAGTTTATAGAATTAAAAAAATGAAAACATGTTTACTCAAACACAGACCTATAAATAGTAAAACCAGAGAAACTGATGATGCTGCATTGGTAAATCTTTTCCAGAGCGCTAGTATAGCAGGCCAAATTCAGAATCAGAAAAAAGGACTTTGTATAACATGTCTATGAAACAGTATTATATGTCAAAACAAAGTCATCGTTTAGAAAGTAAAAAACAGGAGAAAAATAAATGAACTTAATAGTGTAGTGTATCAAAAATATTCCAAAGAAAATCATAGTGAAATTGGTCGGAAATATTAGAAAAAAACGACATATTACTTCAGGTTACATTATATTCAACTTTAGCACAAAGTACAATTACTGTAGTTTGCATCCAACCAGAAGTGCAAACAAGTGATATAAACAGTGGAATATAAATGTAATACCCTTTAAAAGCTGGTAATGATATAGACCGAATAAAACAGACACTTCAGACAGGACAAATATGAATACATCTTAGACAGTTATTGATCCTCTCATAAAGACTCAGAATAAATATTAGAGTACATTCTTAGACATGACACATTAAAGAACCCAACCTTTTATTTAATGAATGTATGGCAACAGAAAGGTGTTTGTTCTGACATCGTAGCCGTGTTTGTGTGTGTGTGCGTCTTCACTTGTTTGCTGTCCTTGACCTCAGCCCGAGGGGTCCCAGATTCGGTGACTAAGCTGTTTTATCGGAGTGTGAGAGGCTACGTCAGCCCTGCTGCCCTGCAGGCACGTCTGTACTTCTATCAGCTCTGCCAGGTTAAAGCCTTGTTTTGCTGCCCGCCCCTCCCTTCCCTTTGTTCATGTTTTATGTAGAATGTGGTCGGTTGTGAATTCTTTGCCCAGTGTTTTCTTACATCAGATCTTTGAAACCAGACAAAAGTCCATTGTGTCTCCGAGAATAGCAGGGTTTGTCTAAACTTGTGCCCTCTTTACTGTAGCTCAGTGATGTTTAGGCACCAACAGCATGTTTTCTGCGGCGTAGGCCAGGGGAAGAAAGCAGGAGCTGAGTGTCGGGGAGATGCTGAACCTCAACAGCAGTCCTTTGAGGCTGGCCAATGAGAATGAGGTAAACCTCAGGTCTTCATTCTCCAAGCACTGAAACCAGATGCTTACTGCGTGTCCTCGGTAGACAAGCAGGCAGCGATGGTGAGAGTTTCTGTGGGGGAAAGAGAAAAAGGTTTTTCCTTTGAGAGCATCCTGTTATTATTCTGCCTCAGGCGCCGAGCGGAGAGAAATGAGTGTTCTGTGTTTATGGGACCTAACACAAAACATCATGTACACACGTTTATGCTGGCACACAGACACACACACACACACACACACACACACACACACACACACACACACACACACACACACACACACACACACTATGAGCGACTGGCAGCTGCATATCAATGAGATGGAAAAGGTAAAAGAAGAAAATAAACACGTTGGGCAGAATGTGAGGAGGACCAATCAGTGGCAACTTGTCTGTCAAGGGGCTGAAATCGAAGCTGATGCCTCAGATGGCTGCGGCAGAATTTCAGATTGGATTTCATTGTGCGTAAATGACTGTGCCGTGGTCATGTAAGACATGAAACAATGGCGTGAAGTCATTTAGAGGCTGAAGTTAAGTGGGATTTTGTATTCAGCCATGAAAGCAGCAACACACTTACTTCCAAGGCAGCATCTACAGTGCATTATGAGGGTATTGATATCGAATTATGATGCTTCATGAATGCACCATACACATAATAATAATAATAATACATTTCATTTCCAAGCGCTTTTTCAGGTGCTCAAGGACGCTTTACAGTGGTGATAAAACGAGATATAATAGAATACAAATATAAAAACAGCAACACTATATAATTCACATATTAAAAGCCAGTCTGAAGAGGTGTGTTTTGAAGTTGGGGGGGTCGGTGCCGTCTCTGATGTGTTGTGGAAGGGAGTTCCAGAGGGTATACCAACAGTCATAAACATGCATTCTAAGTGTCTTATGGACTGGTTATAAACTAGAGGTTGGTTGGTAGGGTTAATAATACATTATTAATACCTTTACACATCCTAACAATCATAATAGTCAATGCAGTAACAGAAGTTGTTTTTGCATGTGTCAATTCAATTAAGTACATATTGATGAATCTATTATATATATTTATATTATATATGCTCAGTATACAGTAGCATACTCAAAGTCATAAGATAGAACTTTATTGATCTCAATGTGGGAAATGTTTGTGCTGCAGCAGCATAAACAGACATGGCATTGTACAATACAAATTAAGACAAGAAATATAACAAGAAATGTTGATTTACAAATGAACAATAACAAGATATAAAGCAAGGTATTATATATACATAAGTATGTGACAGATATTAAATATGAAACTGTATATATAAATGTACAGTGTGATTTTGTTCCAAGAGAAAGTCATGTGTGTATCCGTAGTCATAATGTCTTCAAAGCGTTATCAGTCAACCTCTAGTTTATAACTAGTGGAAAGCATCCATAAGCCCTGCAGTAGAATACATTATTAGTCACATTTATAATGTTTGACTGTTAATGTAGTGCATCAGAAAGCATGATCTGTGTTTAAATGTAGTCATCAAGCATTATACATGCAGCATAGTTGACTATGATGCCCAGATAACACAGTATAATGTTTGTTATAAGTGTGACCATGACATTGTGAGGCATGTTCCCTGGAGAATACATTACCCTCAGGTGTGCTCTTCTGTATTGCTCTTTCCTTAATGTTAGCAATCTTCGCTCTACAGAAAGAGGCAGACTGGTAACATAGACACTTGCTGAGCATCAGTGTGTTAGAATTGTAGCATTGTTGTGGCTGTAGACCGATGTATAAACAAAACATACACACACAAATCATTTATAGTCCCACACACAAACACCTCTTTTACATCAATAACACAAACATAGCAAAACCAAACAAAGACATGGGTTTACTTCACATTGCCACAGATATCTGGTCCAATATACAAAGGAAGTGGACCATATGTCCTTTTTATTGTGAAAAGAAGTCATATTTCGAGGCATGATGTGCAGTAGAGTTCCTTACGTATGAATATATATGAGAAAGGTAACCTTAGAGTGTAAAATAATGTGTGTTTACCAAGTATCTATCTATCGGTTGAAAGTGAAATGTCAATCAAATGTGCATTTCTTAACTTGGCTGTAAATTAAGAAAGGGTGATGGGTTTTATTATTTTTTTTAATTAACATTCAAGCCGTGTGTTAACGATCTTTTCATTTGATCCTGAGTTGTGAAGCACTTTGTGGTCTGTTTCAAATTGAGCTTTGTAAATGAATCATCGATCCTCTGTATGACATTAAAATGAATAATTGAGATATTACTGCCGTTATGCTTTATAGGTGCATGTGATGAATGTGCTATGGGCTCTATAAATAGCTGCATAATGACGGCTGTTTCTGGCACTGCTGGTGAATCTCGTTGATGCGACACCATCGGTGAAATCCGTTGTCGTTCTTTTTATTGACAGCCCGCTCTAATGAGTGGTGAAGCTGTCCCAAATATCAATACACACCCGGATGTTTAGGATTGTTTCTAAATCCATTTAGAGAGTACTGAGGGGAGATAAGCAGTGTGTATGTCTAGCTTTATATGTCAGCATTAGTCTATGCGTCTGGCCCCTAGTCTTGCTTTTACAGAACATTATGGGGTAGCCTAAAACACAAAGCAGTTCTTTCAGCATGTCAGCTTCTGAAGCGCCTCTCGCCTCCAGAGATGACCTGCTAATTAAACATGGCCGCCTCCTTTCAGCAGCGGGGTGGAGGGCGGAGAGAAGGCTAGGCGGTCGGACAACACCAGAGCAGCTTTGAGGGTCTCCGCCGGCCTTATTAAGCCGTCAGACGTCCCTTCTCCTGATGAGCGATGTGTGTCCGTTGTGGCAGAAAACTGAGGAGGCTCTCGGCCAAGTGTCTGTGTATTATTCATGCTGCTTGTAAATTGGCCAGCTGCAGTCTGCTCAAGAGAAATTGCTCCGACTTTGAAACACACTTCCTCTTCCCACACAGCGGGGCCGCTGCTCTCAAGCTGCAGGTTTTCAGAGGCATTGTTCCACACAAACCATGCTTTCATTTTGTTTCCTTATCATCTATAATTCTTCTGCGGTGCTGCTTGGAGGCCTCTGTGTTCCTGCTCGCTGTATACAGTATCAGATTGAATTATACAGTATGCACAGTATGCAGTGTCCCACCTGTTCACTCATGTGTCGCCCATAATGTGTGCCACTATGTTTTTCTCAATTTCTTCCTCCGGTAAATGTATGGGTCTGCCAGAGGGCGTAATGCAATTGTGAATTATTGGGACTTAGGTAACTCTTTTATATCGCTGCCAAGCCCAAACATGTTTTGGAGCGGAACCCAATACAGCCGGAGTGATTTATGAACTCCGCTTTTTCACAGGTCGGCCATTCATTGCCTATTTCTTTTTTTTTTTTTTACCAAAGCAATCTTGGAAATGGCACATCTGTAAAGTGATAAGGAGAATGTTGATGATGATTTTTGCATGCGGCCCGAGGAGAGGAAAACAAATTGATGCCATTATACTGAATGGAAATTGCCGCTGCATGTGAGAATGAATTTCAAACAATAGCTCTGTGTTTTGTTTAAATCTCTCTTCTTCTTCTTCTTCTTCCCCCCTTCTCTCGCTCTCCTCTTCCTCTCGTATCTTTTAGATAACAAATACGCCCCTGCAGTGAGTCTAAACGGTTTTATATTCATCCTGGGAGGAGCCTACGCCCGAGCCACCACTATCTATGATCCAGACAAAGGCAACATCAAGGCCGGGCCCAACATGAATCACTCCAGGCAGTTCTGCAGGTAAGATATTATTAAGGAAGCTGCGCCGCATCTAACTTAAACCCCCCAGCGTGGAACTGTAACCATGTTTTCAAAAGCCCAAAACATTTTTTCAAGCTTCAAAAAGATGTACAACTCAACTTCATCAGTTATCTAGCAGTCTTTGTGTGGAAGCGCAGGTTAGCGGCTGAGCAGGGAAGATGTTTTTGAGGAAGTTAATTAAAAACTGAACAAAACCAGTCGTGGGCTGACAGCTTTCAATTAGTTGTTTTGGTAGATAAACTTTTCCGTGGCTTTAAATTGATGGTCTTGATTTTCAAAATGGCTTGATAAGTAAAGCCTTTTCACATCAAATATCAGAAGCTCTGCTAGATTTAATCAACATTATTTCAAAGCAGTGAATCGCTCAGTTTTATCCTGATGTCCAGTAAAGCTAAGACTTGTACACCACACCTGTAACCTTCACACCACTTGTGGGCACATAATGGCTTATAGAGGGAGATAAATGAAAAGGGACGACAGTATCCCAGTCAGCTCGAGCCACTGAGCTGTGCAGTTTGCTGGATAATGAACCCACTCCTTTATGGGCCAAAGAGGTTTTTTTCTCTTTTCCTGCAGAGAAAGAGAAGCATGCACAAAAAATGCATTCGGGAAGCAATTACAGGCGGTGATCTTATGTGCAGAATGTGTAACATAAATCACATTGTCAGAGTTATTGATAAGCTGCAGCAGCACACGCCAGGCAGCTGTTCTGCTGCTGTGAACTGCGTCTGACAGGAGAGAGGAGGAGCAGGGGAAGCAACTCTCACACAGAGACTCAGAGACTATCTGCACATGAGATGAAGTCCAGCAGGTCACAGTGCAGGAGAGCTGATGTACCCCCTCCGCTGCGTCCGGCCCCCCCCTCCCTCTCCTCTGTTTATCAGGAAGAGCAGCTCCAGGCTTTGCCCCTGTGCTCTCTCTCCATTTTGGGATCAGCTGTGCTTCCTCTGAGTAGATTTAGGCTTTATGTAATAATCTGTTTCCTCCCCAGCAGTGTGCAGTAGGACGGCATGCTGCTGGCTCTGTGTGTGTTTGAGCGTGCACCTTATGTAAATGCAGATCGTTCCAAACCCCAATAGGAGCACAAAGCCCTAATCAGCTTACAGCCCAAGTTTTAATCCTCTCTGCACACAAACTCCTGTTTCTGTTTCTCCTATCAAATGAGCACATTTGTAGAAATATTTGCTTTTTCATTCGTTTCTTTTTCTTCTTCTCTCGCCCTCAAGAGGGAATGTTACGTTCCTCCCCCCCTCTACCTTACAAAGTATCCTTGTTGGGCAATTCGTGAACAAGCGTAAATTATGTCAAACAAAATCAAACGCAGCTCTACAATCAGCTTGTTTGTGGATGTGTTGTCTCCGATCTGGCTTTGTTTGTCTCATCCCGATTGACAATCAGAGCAATATTCCTGCGTGCCGAGTCACAGATATCTCATATCACCGCCAAATTAGCTCACACTTGCGTTCACCTACTTATCTCCCCGACACTGATTATCTCTCGCTATTAATTGTTCCTAACAGTGAGGGCTTTTAATAGGAAGCAGCAGCAGCAGCAGCAGCAGCAGCAGTAGGACATGTTGGGTCTGCATAAGCTGCATACAGATGTAAGAGAGGGAACAGTTAGAGCTGGGGTAGGCAGTATGTTGGGCAGAAAACCCATCATTTGTAATTGACATGTTACCCCCCATGGTAGGCAGTTTGCTGGAAGAGGTTAGTATGTTTCTCTTTGGGGTTGCTTTGCATTTAAGGAAGTTGTTGCCATGCTGGTATAGCAACCTTTCCTGCAGGGTATTCCATCGTTGAACCAGGCTGTAATTGGCCAAATTCTCCTCTCACTGTATAAAGTTTCTAACGTTTGAAACAGTCTAGTTTTCTCTCACACCACTTGAATTCAAATATGCTCGAAGATATGAGAAATAAAAACTGCCTACACCAGATTAAAGACTCAGGCTCCTACCAATGAGAAAAATAACGGATTCAGTACCAACATACTGACCATGAATGGTTTCAAAAACACTTCGATCATCTACAATCTATCTCTTTGAATTAATACAAATCTTGAAAGTCACACAAGAAGCTGTTTTTGTGTGTTCTGTGAATACAACAATGCAGAACATCAGTTTAGCACTAACACTGGACAGAGAGCCTGTGTTTTAATTGATAACGAACTCCACCTAGCATACTCTCTGCTGTTCAACTTATATCTTGCTCAATTTGTTTATTCAAGTGCATTTAATAATATATATATTTATGCCACAACAAGTAACTTCTGAAATTGCCACTGGTAGCCAATCAACTGGTCAGATTTAAAACGTTCTGTTGTTTGAGACATAACCCCAAAATTGAGTGAAATCTTAACAAATAAGAAATTATAGAATGTACTTATTATTGCGCTTTAGAGGTGATGGTAGGTAGTTGTGTTACCATTTGACAGAGGCAGGCTAGCTGTTAACCCCAGGTTAAAGTGTGTGTGCTAAGCTAACTAGCTAATGGATACGACTCCATATTTAAAAGACCCTAACACACCACCTCACACCCATGTGTGTCTTCCTGTGCAGCGCTGTGATCCTGGACGGGAAGATCTACGCCACCGGAGGCATCGTGAGCAGCGAGGGTCCGGCTCTGGGCAACATGGAGACCTTTGACCCCTGCTCCAACACGTGGACGCTGCTGCAGTCCCTGCCCTGCCCGCTCTTCAGGCACGGCTGCGTGGTCATCAAGAAGTACATCCAGAGCAGCTGAGTGGGCTGGGACCCCGACTCACGGGGTCCACGGCAACCAGCTGAGCTCCGGGCCGGGGGACAACGTGCGACGGCAGCTTGGGGCGGGGGCCGGTCTGACGACGACCTCTGGACGCCAGCACCCACCCACTCTGTCTCCTGTCCCTCCACCCAAAAACAGCCCTGTGCAGAATGTACTCATGTTCAGCTACTCAGCCATGTCAGGTGACCTAACCTCCAGTACTGTGTCATGGTAGTAGTTCATCCTCTCATCCAACAGGCACAGGGACCCTCTTAGTAAACTACAAAAAAATAGATTTTTTTTGTAGTTCTGTCTTTTCCAGATCTCCATGAACTCACCATGTTTTTCTTTACTAGGAGCCATTGTCGGTCCAGATTTCTGTTCCTTTTTGAGAATTCTGTTTGACAGATGTACGTTTTACAGTCAATAGAGCAGAGTTCCTTTGGGGGTATGAATGTCTTTTCAGTAGGGACATCTAAAGGACACGAGGAAAAGTAAAGGAATCCAACGACTGCTTTCCTCTGTTTCGGGAAGCGCCTACATCCAGTGTGGATTTATGAGGTAATTTTGGAAACAGATTTTGAACTCTCTGTGTTACTCTGGGGAAACATAGGAAAAATCATAAAATCTGGGTCATGTAGGGTTTACAAGAGGAACACTTTATTTGATCTGCATTCTTGTGAAATTCCAGCTGGATTGAGATAACATCTGGGAGGTGAGTGGCCTGTTTGCCCCTTAATTCACACTCTGAGATAAAGACAAATACATTGAGAGAGGGAATTGCCCCTTCCGCTGACCTCTGATCAGAAGATGATCTAGAAAAAAAGCACAATATCACCTGTGACTGTTATTATTTGATGTCTTCATCAGTTTGCCCCTGCCCCCTTCTCTTTGTTTTATACAACGTGTTCCATTGCAACCCTTGAGATTTTGGGGTTGGTATTCTGTAAATACAGGAAGGAAAATGTATATTTTGAAACCTGAAGGCAATTCTGTATAAATGTTTTTAGAAAAAAAAGATTAGGTTGGATTCAAAATGGTATGTCTGTAAATCTGTACCCAAAAAGGAGAAATTAACAATTGTTATTATTGAAACCTAATACATATACCAGAACATGAACACTTTGTTGAGTCTTTTTTTTTTGTATACTGTATTAATGACTGAAGGGTAAGATCAGTGCTCCACTCAATGCAGCTTATTAATGTCATTGTGGGTCATGCTTATTAACAGAAATGTTTTGTATTTCGAAAACAGTAAGAAATATCAACATTTGAAAGAATCAGCTTGCACCTTTTATTCAAGTATCACAGCAGTTTATTTGAGAAATACAGTAAAAGTTTCATTTCAAATAATAACTTACACTAAAGTAACAATTTCGAACAGGCGTGGTAAATACACACAGAACAGAATAGACAAAGGTATGGAAAGTCTCGACTAAAATTAAGTGTGAAACAATAGGGAAGAACAAAGTATTTCAGGATAGAACAAACCCTTCCTTCTGCATACTGGACTAAGCAGTCTCAACTACCAGACAAAAATTGGTTGTTAGTCCAAACTGGCTACAATTTTTTAATAAGAAAGGAAGATCACAATGTATGACATTTAACTACCCATATTTTATTTCCATGTGTTTTCTAAATTCCTTAAAAAATAATTATTTTGGCAGAAAGTGGAGACAAGTGAACAACATTTAAGAAACTCTGGTCCTTTTTCTCTTCCTGGGATCTACTAGACGGATGCAATGTTTTTAAATATCCGTCCTTGTGAGTCTCTTCCCGTATGCCAAACAGTCCGTAACCACTTTAACGAAGAAAACAGCGGAACAATTAAATAAATAGAAACGTTGCAAGGGCATGTTGTCGCGTGTTGAACCTGAGTGACCTGTAAACCCTTTATTCCCCCGCACACGGCAAATAAAACCTGCTACACAAACGCTTCGCAATTCGACAACAATTGTTAAAACAGACGCGCAACGCTTCCCCGCTTCATTACATTTCAAACGTACAAAAAGACAGTTGACTGAATTAGGTGTAAAACGTGTTTAATAATAAATAATCTGAATCATGAGATGAAAATCTGCACCAAAAAAAATGCTGAATTGAATATAAAGGCGAAGGTTGTGTGAGGAGGAAAAAGATGTAGCTTCTAACCAAGTCTGGGTGTGATTGTTCTCAAAGAGGAGATCTGTTATCTCTAGAGTCTAGGAACAGTACAAATGAAACTAAAGCTTATAATACACAGTCCACCAAATATGCTTACAATGTATGCAATCATCATCTGGCTCAAATGCAAACATAGTGAACAATGGGAGAGATATGAGGAACTCTTGGATTACTGCAGGGCCGTGCCTTCACTGATCTGGTACTGGAGATGTTGCAGTATTCCGGGGGGGGGGAGAAACACTGATTTTGTACCCAGTAAACGGTTGTCGCATTAAAATAAATTAAGCTGAGGTAGCGTTGGTTTTTCTCTCTGCAGTAGTCCAAGTGCTAACCTGTGGTTGCCAGTTTGCATATGCTCTTTGTTGTTGTCACCTAGAGTCTGAGAGAAGGCAGAGAGCTTGAGGTGAGTTGGAGGACCGGCCCAGAGTGAAGGAACCTGCACCTGCTCACAATATGGCATCTCCAAAAACCATGACAATGCCATGAAAACATTATAAAGCTTCAGTAAATATCTTCATTTACTGCAGTCAAGAGAAACAACTACTGTGTTGGCCACAGATCAGAATCCAGCTTCTCTTGTCTCGTGTCGAGAAAAAACTGACAATAAATTCCATAAAGTCGGAAAGAAACCCATTTGAAAAGGAGGGGGAAAATAAACCGTGTAATGCTTTATACAACTTAGTGACGGCACTGCCTAGAATGGCCTTGTTCATTATGGGTTGCAAAATGTTGACTCAAGCAAAGCATTTATACCAACAACAAAAAAAACCCGTAGAAAAGTATTATCAAATTTACAACATAACATAACACATAGGTTGTTGTGACCATGTAATAGAACATTGTCATAGTTAACAAAACTCACATGAACAGGTTATTTGAGCACCTTCTTTTAAGTGGGGTCAAACTTGGCACCGTAAATCGTCTGACTAGCATCATCATTTTTGCATATGGAAAACTGAAGAGAAGCTGGTGGTGTCAACCTGTCCTACACCTGCTGTCCGCTCAGGTGGAGACTGCTCTGGGTTTGTAACAGGGCATGAATACATTTAAATATTGAAACAACATGTCAAGTGCTTGAGATGCGTCTGGCCAGACTCATCCACTAAAGGTAAGTGTTATCTAAAACTCCTTTTGTGTTCAGATGTTTTAAAGTTTGCTTTTTCAGTTGGAGATGTAACCTAGATTTGATTTTAAACAAACTAATGGTATTTAAATATATATATATATTTTTTTTTTTTGCTTCAAGGTCACTGACCTCAGTGGTTAGGACCTAACCCCAAATTGGAGCCTGTTCATTGTCACAAGTAAATAAAAAATCCTGCTAAATATATCAGTTTTAATATAAGGGGTTTTACATAAGGCACACGCTAGGCAGTGCAAACTCTAGACGCATTCCAATTTGTACTGCTTCCAGTTCCTCAGCCGGGGGGGTTGGAGGGAAACATTCAGACTGTGAATGCTAGTGAGGAGGAGGAAGAGGAGGGGTGTGGAGCTACCACAAACTATTTAGGACATGACAATCTGCTGCGAGTGTGAACGCCAGAGGTAGGGTACACGAGAGGTGTTGCAGCTGACCAGGTCACCAGTCAGTCTGAGACAGAAACTGTGGGGGGGGGGGTCTCCACCGGGGCCGCTGTAATGAAGAGGACTCGGCTCTAGTCCCGCTGCGCTAACCTCATCCAGTTTTTGTTCACACTCAAACTATTGTTCAGGGGTGAGTATCCTTGACGGTGGCTCAGGTATTGAATTAATCAAGTAGCTAAAATGACGGAAAAAGATGAGCCGTGTAATAGCACCGTAATTACTGGCCTATGACGAAGCATTTCACTGGGTTTTTTTTGGGGGGGGGGGGCTCAGCAATGTGGTCCAGTGATTCAGAACATTATCTGTCCTCATCTCCTAGCGGGACGCTGCATTCACACTTTCTGCTGGTGAGGGTCTGGGTGAGTGTGTGCATTCCGGCTGTGTTTGTTGAAGTACATGCAAGAGTGTGTGTGTGTGTGTGTGTGTGTGTGTGTGTGTGTGTGTGTGTGTGTGTGTGTGTGTGTGTGTGTGTGGTGTGTGTCCAGGTGACACCACCCGATCTGTTGGCTTTTGCTCGTCATCAAAGTTAAGAAGTAATCCCAAAGAGCAATGTGGATGAAAGTTAGGATAGCACCAGGGTCGACCGGCAGCGTTGGGGGGGTGTGTGTGTGTGTGTGTGTGTGTGTGTGTGTGTGTGTGTGTGTATGATGGTCTGGATCTGGCCAGGTTCCTGAGACGATAGCACCATTGAATGTCCTCAACATCGTCCTCATGTTTCTCCTCCCGGCAAGAAGAGGGCGCTGGATTTTTTCTGTGTGTCTCTGTGTGTGTGTGTGTGTTTCTTTGTGGTCCCAGGCTGATATGGTATCCTCTCCGTCTCACGGGAATGTATCAAAATGCTGGATTTTCCCCTCCATCTCCTGCAACACACACACACATCAAAAGATATTGCTTAGTCTCAACGCTGCAAAGTCAGATGTGTGTAGAAAGCGTCTGTGCGCCGTGGTTTCAATATTACTTGGATATTTCCCACAGCAAACAGCTTTCACCATGATAAATGATGTAAAAGGAAGCAAAGCTGTGCTGGAATGAGACAGGCCATTTCTCTCAGCGTGAAAACAGCAGAGTTTGACACTGACTAAATCTGAGCCGAGCCGGAGGAAGAGAGATGGATGTTAGCCGGCAATAGACCATGATTAATGCCTTGAAGATGTTCCACTGTGTGTGTTCCCTCATCTGTTTGGCTGAATCAGTGCGACAGACGCCGCGACAAGACACACATTTCAACATCTACAACAGAAGATACAAACTTTACAGTAAAAAGCTATTCTTTCTCTTCTAAAGAGTTGAACTTTTCCTTATTTACTGAAAACTTTAGAACCCAACACCATCATGACAACAGACACCATTTCCTCAGACAGAGAATAAGTGCTGAGGGAGCCTGAAATTATGAGTCAATCATATTTTATTCAACCTTGATAATTAAATAAATTATTGTTTTGTTAAACAAAAAATACATGTTTAAAGGGGCCCTATGCTCATTTCAAGTACATTATATATGATTTGTATTATTTATTTTCTGGTTTTCTTAATCTTTACTAGAACAATAGAATCAAATTGAGAACTCAAGGTTGTGGAATTGTGAAATTATTATTTGTTATTATGTGCCATTATAAGTTCCTAACAAAGATCAGCTTAGAAAAGCTCTTGAAAGTCTACCTCGAAGCCTTTTAATGCACACTTTTGTCAGTAAAATGGCATTGAATTCACAAGCTAATTTCTTAAAGGAGACCTATCATGCTATATTTAAATGATATAGTGTATGACCATACCTATATAAGGTATATTTATACATTTCATTTTTCAAAATACCAAACAGATCATTTTTTAGCCATGCCTCGTTTCGCTCATTTTCGCGCTATTCCAAGCCTGTCTTTGAAAATTCTGAGCAGCAGCTGACCACGCCCCCCTGCAGAAGAGGGGGGCATGAGCCGGCGAGAGTCACGTTACCATGTTTGCTGTGATTACGAGTGTGGAATAAACATGTCATCTCAGAGCAATGCATGTGTTCAAGCATATTATCAATTTGATCCAGAAACTGACCCTGAAGCAGCGGAGGTTTTGGTGGAGGTGCAAACATTTAGGTTGCAGCAGGACGCTTCTGAATGGTTAGTTGACAAAATACTTGTCAACCCTCCCGATTTTCGCGGGAGACTCCCGATTTCATTGCCCTCTCCCGGTTTCCTCCCGGGGTCATATTTCTCCCGCATTTCTGAGGTCTAAAGTTTGTGAATGTGGTTGACAAGCTGTTGTCCCTATTTATTTTACTCTGTTTGTAACGATGCTTGCTACTTATTCCTTTCATATTTTGGCTAATTAGCAAGAATGTAATGTGTACAGTTTGTAACTTAGAGTTTGACCCAGAAAATAAGTCTCTGAAAGGCGGGGGAAAGTTGTGTGGATAGAGGCAGAGCGCAGCGGCAGGCAGGCAGAGAGGAGCAGGCTGCGATAACCCCCCCACCCCACAGAGCGCACCCAGAGGACAGGCTGCGTCACCTCACTTTGTAAGTTGTAACCCAGGAAAGGAGCAGGAATCCTGGGTACGTGAGTGTTAAAAGTGCATTAAACTGTTTTAATCCGACAGCCGCTGATGTGCACGGAAGTCTGTCCGTGAACATTTGAATAGCCAAATGGACGGAAATCCGTCCTACAGTATATGCGAATGAGAGGTTTGGCAATGCACGTGGCCGTGGTTCATTCCCCTGATAGGTGGAGAGTTGACCAATAAGCGGAGCACCTCTTTGTGACGTAGAAAAGTGTTGAAATCTGGATCCGTTTTTTTCAGATCCGTTGCAGCCCCTTTTTTAGAGATTTGGGTATGGAGGAAAATAGAGAGGGTTGTGTTTTCTGACACTTGGTGAGTTCCCTGGAACACCGGGGACACATATTCGTATAAAAGACGTAAAAAGGTGCATTTTGCATGATAGGTCCCCTTTAAGATCAATGTCACATATAATCCTCTCATGTTCACACACAATGTTCGAGTGGTGCTGAGGGAGTCGCTGTTAACTGAAGAGTGCATTGTGGCCAGCTGTTCATTTGGTGATCTAGATATAATGAAAACTATAGCCAATGTGTTCTGAATGGATTTTAAAAAGGTCACAGGACGGATGTTACTCCGCACGTCATTTTAACTTCCCTTGCAACTCCAATTATAACATTAATAAAGCTCTTAATCATCATGCCCCCCCCCCCACCATCGGCACCAGGTCACACAGGCTGTAAAACCCAATGACGGTATGAAAAGTGGAGCTGAGGAATAAAAAGTCACTAGTTTGGAGGATTCCCTGAAAGTCTTTGCTCATCAGGCACCGTATTTAGACACATCTATGCCACCCGTCTGTTGTTGTGTTACGCTGTACGCCCACACACCGCCGCGCAGATAAGCTCTTTTCCTCCCTGCACCTGTGTGATCTCGAGTTTATCTGCCAGGAGGCCTATCACCTTGTCATCCCGACAAACCCAACAACAACAACAACAAGTCTCTGCAGCACCTCTGTCTCACTGATAAAGTTCTGCAGCGCTCTCTAGCAAGTCCACCAGCGCACCCAGGTTTAATTCCTGTGTCGCTCATTAGCTCCAGCATGGCAGAATTGTAGATTTAGGAGTTTAATTTCCCGATGGCACCATCAATACAATGCATTAAAAGAAAATCCAGCATCACCGCTGTCGAGATGTCTTCAATTTGTGACAAAGGTGTGATGAATTACTTTGGGGTACTTGCCTCTTTTGAACCGGTCTCATCTACTTCCGCCTCAGTTACTGATTTCCTTTATTTCCCAGATCGAATTTCCTACAGCCCCTAGGAGAGGGTAAGGGTTCCCTGCGGTGTGTGCGTGCAGGTAAAGAGAGCGAGAACAACAACATAGTACATTTTTATCCTCACAAAAGAGAGAGTCGAGAGAACAATCTGGTGTATTGTGCCTGGATGAGTGTTTTTTTCTCAAGCTACTGACAACGCTTTCACACAATGATGAGAGATTGGGCTGCAATGCTTTCGGTTCTACACAGCCTTCTGTCGTAGAGAAACTCAATTCTCTGCCGGATTATTTTGTCTTCATATGACAACAACATTGGTACACAATGTCTTGAGATAATGCCTCAAACGATCCCATTGACTAACATCAAGGCAAGATGTTTGTCATGACTAAATTAAAGAGTACACAGTGTTACTGCTAGGAAAACAGCAAATGGACCAAGAATCCAAGTAGTATGTACAAATCAACACCTCCACTAGTGGTGCTTTCAATGAACCAATAACAAAAAGATGGCCTGAGAAATAACCAATGTGTGATGTTCCGCTAAGACAGCCAGCGGCGTGCACAGCTCCAGAATCAAACGGACGCAAGGTCTTCAGCTCGTGCAAAGTCTTAAATTGCTGTCTGAGGAACAAGGTAATTGTATTACTAGTTCTAGGGTGATATGAACGCTAATTTGTAGATAGGAACACAGTTGGTGTGTTTTGTGTACAGGGCAGAGAGGGTCCCTCTGGCTTTAACTGGAGGCAGGGTGTAGTCCGCTCCATCTGCTGAAAGGTCAGCTCTCTGGAAGACGGAGACAAGCCGTACCCAGAGGAGGGCGGGGGGGGCAGAGTAAAGGAGACAAATGTATGGACACGCTCCATTTCACTCGTCTCTACAAAGTAGACACAAACACCATGCGCTGCAACATTAAGTGGGAATGGCTCCAGCCGCCGTACTGAGTATCACCCAGCAACAGGTCTGTGAGCGCATGTTTCTGCATTCCCTGGTGAGGAACAGGGAGATGACCTGCTGTGTGTTTGTGTGCTGCAAACAGGCAAACAAAACACGTGCCAAACGGGCTGACATTTCTGCTCTGAAACCCCAATTTAGGCTGGCAGGATAAGATGAACCCAGACAAGCGCCCGCCCCCCTCCCCCTCCTCCTCCCCCTCCTCAGACAGGCGGCACCACCTGGCTCACTGCCCCCCTCCTCCTCCCCTCCCTCTCCCACTTCCTCCCCCTGACATCCTGACAGGCAGTCCTGGCTTCTAGCACCAGGACCGCCATTTCTGGCCCGCTGTCTGTACTGACATCTTAGAGCAGCAGCAGATGACCAGATGGGATTCTTGGAAAAAATAAAGCAGCTCTTTTTTAGACGGAACATTGTCAAAAATACCTTAAATTAAGGGTTGGGTTAAGTTGACACTTGCTTTTAAAGGGGACCTATCATGCAAAATGCCTTTTTATACATAAATATGTATCCCGGTGTTTCAGGGAACTCACACAGCGTCAGAAAATAAAACCCTCTCTTTTCCTCCGTACCCAAATCTCTAAAAACGGGGGTACAACGGAGCTGATCCAGATTTGCCTCCGATATGACGTAAAATCGGCAACGTAGGCTGGCTTTACACCCACGGCCCTATCAGAAACGTTGCCATCAGAAACAATGCCCGACTGTTGGACGTAATATGGTCTTTGTTTACATTAGCAAGCATTGCTAACACTCAGAAATAACCCTGTACTGGAGAGCATGTGTGTGAAGAAGCAGGAAATAAAAATAAACTCACCTTGTGGTATAACCGGCAAGAGAGAAAGCCTTTGAGCTCCATACTGTTTCAGACATAATCCTTGATAATCCATGATATGGCGTTTCATCACCGCAGTATCTGCCGGTAGAATCTCAAGCATGAGCAGGCATAAGCTCCGCCCCCTCTTTCTTTCTTTCTTTTTAAAGCTTTAGACCCAGAATCAGCACTTTTGTAACAGGAAGTGAAATAGAGGGATATGAGGCAGAATGGGTGATCTGTTTGGTATTTTGAGCTAAACACTTCATAGACATGTTTTTTTATATATTTTTATGGTACACAAATTCTCCATCAACTAGTTGTTCATTAACATGCATATTAGCAGTATATTGGCTCTTTATTAGTCATTATAAAACGCTTATTGATGCCTTATTCTATATGACCATATTCTACAAGTAATAAGCCATTAGTTGAGAGTTTTTCCTCAATAACCCTCTAATTAGTGCTTAGTTATTGGAGGTAAGGAAGTTGTTGGACATGAGTTTTGGTCGTAATATGCGCTGCTCAATATGGGCCTAATAAGGCAGTAGTAGCACAAGAAAAGTAATTCTCCCATAATAACACTATATAATCTATCCGTATGGAACAAGACATGAAACTATAAGTTTTAATTGTGTCTAAATAACTCAAAATTAAGTATTTATATAAGAACATGTTCCCTATTTTAAAGTGAAGTGAACTAGTTGTTAACATGCATGTTAATTAAAAACTAGTTGATGGTGAATTTCTGTACCTTAATATAAAGTGTTACCATTTTTATATATCTGAGACCTACGTATGCTATTGCCTAAAAATAGCATGATAGGTGACCTTTAAATATTTAAAATGTTATGACCTCAACTTTAAAATACTTAATTTATTTTGCTTAAGTAAAGAAAGTACTCATATATACTTGATATACTTCCTCAGAGTGGACAGAGCAATGATCTTTTTAAAAAGAAAAAAATGTATACGATTTCAAATTAAATGAATGAATAGTATATAGGCCTGCTTGTATAGTAAGAATACATTTTATTTATTTTTATTTAAAAGTGAAATTGTTCTCAGAAGTCAATTAAAATGACTTAAACGTCTGGCCTGACGATTGAGATATCCTCTTGCTAAGAACTATAACTGACAGCATTCCCAGATGTTTTAGTAGCATGTGAACTCAGTTCTATTTTTAAAATAGAAACAATGACTATTCAAAAACGTACATATTGTCTTCTAGATTCACACTGAAAAACGTCCAAATCGAAGATGTGTGTGTGAGGCTGTAGTGTGCGAGGCTGTAGTGTGCATTGTGTGTGCTTTGTGTTTGTGGTTGTGATGCGTAAAACCATCATGTGTAAATATGTGTAAATTGGGCTGGCAAAGAAATGGGATATATGAGAGGGAATCGGACCGGGTGGCTGATCGATCTCTGTGTCTCTGTGAGGAATATATTACTCTTTTATTTACTGTTTTGGATTCCAGCTCATGGGCTCACTTATCTCTGTATGTCTCACACACACAACCTGAACCCTATCTTACTCACAGTCCCCACTGTCTTCATTAGATCCTTTGAAGCAAAAAAAACCTCACAGTAAAAGTCACAGCATGTGTCCTGGCATCGTGTTACTCGGAATCAGTTACTCTGCTTACATGGTGACAAAACTGCAGCACCACCAAAAAAGGGAAGTAAGACCATTTTGCCTCAGTAACGACTTGCAGGATCACTAATGATAAGTGATATCAATGATGTGTGAATCGTCTAAACTCAGGACATAAGGAGCCTCTGAAAATAAAGGGTTGTGTTGCACGTACTTGTTTGTGCTATGCATTTTAAGTCTGTTCTTTTTTATGAAGCAGCATTAATATCTCGTAAAAACAAAGCTTAAATGTCACATCATTTATATTGCAAAAAAGAAGATGTCCCTTAGCTGCAATAGAATGGTACAGGAATGAGTCTTTAACCAGTTATATAACTTCCCAGCTCCCTTTTCTTGAAGTCAATGTTTTTTGAATGAGTTCTTGTTTTGATTTCCGATATAATGTCTGTGAGGAAATACTCCACTGGTGAACGTCTTAAGCTTTTACTTGAATGAGACCACTAAACTTCATCAATCCGGACACAAATTGGCCATTAGCTTAGCTGTTTGGCGTTGTCATGGTGCAATCATGTTGCTTTATAGTGTTACTTTTGACGATTTATTTTAAGATTCAACTGCTATAAAAGTGGTGTCAAGATTATCTTGCTGAACAAAACAAATAGGTATTATAAATGTTATGTATGTTTGTCACAGATCTTATTTTCCCTAATATTTCAAACGCTAATGGAAAATGTCCATTGCTTTGAGTGCAGGGAGCCCTTGCTATGCTTACTTCCAGGTTAGCAAACAGAAATACTTCATTACTGCAGCACTTTATAGAGGTTCTCACATTCACTTAAAACAGAATGAGCCATGTTCAGATGTTTACCTGCTACCTGCTTGCTGGCATCAACAAGGGAAACCATTGTGAAAGAATGATGGACTTTTATTAATCCCTCGTGGGGAAATTGTTTCTCTGCATTTGACCCATCCTAGTGTTAGGAGCAGTGGGCTGCCATTATGTACGGCGTCCGGGGAAGATGAGAGGTATAATCACATAGTTATTTCCCACAAGGGGCAGCAAATAACAATTATTTTACTAATCATTATTACGCTTATTATTTTCTTGATGAATCAATGAATTGTTAAGGCAGAATGTGTGTTTCTGACCTCCAGTAGTTTGGTCTTCTCGTACTCTCTGCGGTGCCGGTAGATGCTCTGGCTGAGGAGGGAGTAGAGTCTCTCCAGCTGCTCCACGCTGTATCCTTCACTCTTCTTCACCACCGTATCCAGCAGAGCCTGAGAGGAGAGACACACAAACAGACATTACAAATAAAGACAGTGTTTACGTTATTCCTGATATCCACAAACATGGCTATGGAGGACAACACAGGGCGAAATAACCGGCCACACAAGCTTAGCGCCAATGTTGGTGCGTGGACATTTTGGAGGTCAGCTCTATTCAAAAGCAATTAAGTTCAGATTGACAGCTAATTTAGGCTAATCATAATTAGAACCAAGTTTACATTTCACTGCTACTTTAATTAAAACATTGTGGACAGTCAACGGCCCTTTTAATCGACCCGTTTCTCACATTGTACCCAGTGTGTGTGTGTAAACACAGGGCTCATCAGAATGCATGGACTGACACAGGAAAGACACAATAATTAAAGGTAGCGTCACTGACACAAGGCAAACAGAGTAACCTCAGACGGAATTAAACGCTACGTGTTTCAGAGAGAGAGACAGGGACCATAGAGTTAAACGTATAAAACTGCGGCAATGTCAATATTAATAAGACGTGGATGTTTGTCTAAGCCTCTAATCAGCGGACGTCTGAGAGGGCCATTGGACGTCTAATTACAGTGAGCAGAAGCAAAATGACAGAGGCAAAAAGGTTAGCATTGTATTAATCACTGTACTCCATCCGACTAAGAGTTCTGTTTAAATGACAGACTACAGCTTCATGTTAGTATAAACTGAATCCCAAGACGCACTTAAGTTATAAGAACAAATTTGACCTTCAGAGAAACGCTTCACTTTTGAAGGATTCTTTACTTTTCAGAGAAAACATTCTTCATTGAGTTACAGAAAAGGAATTTTTTTTCTTCTTCTACATCTTAGAAAAGGGGGTTGCTAATGTGATCAGAACATTATCCTGCTGTACTAAACAAATAACGTGTATGTATGTTTGCCTCAGATCATATTTTCTGCGGTACTGCAACAAAAACTTTAATAGAAACTGAACCCCAAGACTCACTTAACTTATAACCGCAAATTTGACCTTTAGAGCATTACTTAATTTTGTAAGGATGTTTTGACTTTTTCAGCAATAACACTTCTAATGGAGTTAGGGAAAAGGGAATTACAAACATCAGCTGCCCTTTAGCTGTTGAGTCATTTCCCAAAGCTGGAGTAGTACACTTCAAATACATTTTCTTAAAAGTGTGACGGCTAAAAACAAGATACATAAAACATCCACAACACCATGTACAATAGACTTCTGTGGCTCAGAAGGTGGATGGTTGTCTGAATTGAAATGTCTGTAGTTCCATCACCAGCCCCTGCAGTCAACATGTCAATATGTCCTTGGGCAAGATACTTGATCCCATTGGTGTGTGAATGTGTGTGAAGGTAGGTTTCCCTGAGCAGATGTAGTATGGCAGCCTCTGTATGAAGGTGTGTGAATGGGCTAATGCTGACTTGTATATTTAAAAGCACTCGTAAAGACTGAAAGTATATATATATATATATATATTAGGGCCGGGACTCGATTAAAAAAATTAATCTAATTAATTACAGGCTTTGTAATTAATTAATCGCAATTAATCGCATTTTTAATCGCATATAAATATTTGACCTGAGAACAGTGAGAAGCAATTTTTTTCACATGGATTTTAGTATACCATTGAATAATGACTGAATACATAAGCTTAAGCAACAAAACATTGTTTATTTTTTTCAAGGAGGTTCTTAACCAAGAAAAGTGTAGCAATAGCATATTTAGGAATATAGTACATTTCCGAGATTCAGGTAGCCTATAGGTAGGTAGACCTTCTGTAAACTATAACACTTTGTTTTTTAAGTATAACACAATACTTTCAAGTACATTCAGAACATTGGAAACCCTGACTATTAGAAAACATCTCTCTGTTGCTTCAGAGGCCATAACAGACTTTGTTGATTTACCAACAGTTGATTTAAAAAATCTAATAAATTTCAGTCCAACTCTCTCAATAACCTTGGCCAAAACAATAAACAGTTCAACATAAAGTGCCAGTTGCACCAACAACGTAATAAATAGTTAAACATAAAGTGTACCATTTAAAATAAAATAAAAAAAGTGCCAGTGATTGACCTCAATCCCTCCTATTCTTCCAATATCCTGATGAAAAATAAAATCTCTCTGTTGCATAGGCCATTGTTTGATCAACGCGAATTGGGTGTGGGTCCTTGTACTCCGAGTCGGGCTAACGTCCACGCTAGCTTCCACGCTAGCTGCTATATGTTTTGCATTGAGGTGATACTTGAGGCTTGATGTGCTGCGGTGATATGCGAATTCCTTTTTGCATAATTTGCAAACAACCGTGCTCTTATTGACGCTTCCATCCGTCCGTTTTTTAAAACAAAATNCCTTGACAGATTCACAGACTGGCAAATACAGTGCAGACCTGATGTACTGTGTGGGTTCATAGGGTTTAGCTTAAATATATAACGTGCATTATGTTGATCATTATGGTTAGGGCATTTGACATTTGACTGAATAAAAGCTTGTTCTCTCTTTCCTATGTTCTGTTTTTCTTTGACCTTTTCTGCTATTTCTTACGTGACTCTTCTCTTGGCAGGTATCACTTGGTGAAATTGTTGGAGAAGTTTGGCCATGTGAAGCAGTTTGACTTCCTGTTTCATAAGTCTGGGCCTTTGGAGGGACAGCCACGGGGCTACTGCTTTGTCAACTTCAACACCAGAGAGGTACATGCGAAATCTTTATTTGATCGAAACTATATCATTAACATTTTTCCGCAGTATGTCATTTTGTAAACTGATGGTTTGTACTAGGGCTGCTTGATTATGGCAAAAATCCTAATCTCGATTACTTGGGTCAATAATTGTAATTGCGATTATTAAATGCGATTATTTATTGACTTTGAAAACATCCATTTATTGGAGAGAAAAAATGTGAACAGTATGTTTTTAACAGTTGATTACCCAGAAATTTAAGTGTAATTCAACTGAAAAACCAATAAAAATAAAAGATTTATTAAAAAATAAAAAAGTAATAATAATAATACAAAAATAATCGTTTTATTTCGATTACGTTGTTTTCGTAATCGTTGCAAGCCATAATCGTAATCGCGATTTAAAATATGATTAATTGAGCAGCCCTAGTTTGTACTATGAGTTTGTTATAAAATCGGTTTGCTTCATACATAGGAACAGCTGTCATTTAAGGGGATATACCCTTGAAAAAAAAAATTGAAATCTGTCAATCATTTGAATAAAAATTGCTATTAGTCAATAATGACAGTATGGCAATATACCAGTGTGTCTACTCAAATGAATAAGGCAAGTGAGACTTTGACTAGATTATGTCAGTTTGCATATTTGTGTTAAGGTTCTTCACTTACACGTTGTTACATATTCTCTCTTTGTTAAAATGTGCACATCCACTCAAATCCACTCAGTCAAATACATTTTATCAAAGGAATTCCCTTTATCGATTGTGATAATGATCCCCCTACTCAAAGTCCTGAGAAAGCTATTGGACGTCATCTCCTGGCAGTCAGGAACTGAATATGTGTCTAACTGAAGTGGACCGTTACTCTTAAAAAAAGCACTTTGAAGGAGCCGCTTGGCTTCACTGGCTTTATTTGTTTTATTTGTTTTTGGAGTGAGCCTGGGGAACGTGATAAGCATCTCGTTCCACTGATAGTGTCCATCAGTGGGATATAAAGCCCTCCCAACATACAGAGGAAATGTGTGTTTATCTTACACGCTCAAACACACTGAGGCACATACAGAAAAAGTACTTCATTAATATAATTTATATTAGAGCCACTTACTCATTTGATTAGACTGCCTTTGTCACACTGCTTCTCAAACACACAACAGAGACACACACAGGTTCGTTAGTCAGAGTGGCACATCGTCATCATCCTCTATTATTGCCATCTCTTTATTGTGAAGACTAGTTATTTAAGGACTCGGGTGCAGTCATCAAGGCTGATTTTTAATCATAATGGTATTCTTCCTTTCCTTTCCTTTCCTTTCCCCGTTCATCTTTTCCTCTGTGTGTCTGTCTGCAGGAGGCAGAGAGGGCCATACAGTGTTTAAATGGGAAGCTAGCTTTGTCTAAGAAGCTAGTTGTGCGCTGGGCACATGCACAGGTGAGGGTAAGTGTCAAACTCAATTATTTTGTATTCAACTGAAAATCTTCTACACCCTGAATTCTCAGTGCAGTGAGGCACTTCTGTGTCTGCGGCTGAAGAGTACATTATTGTATGTGTGCATTAGAAAAGACTATCATCAGCTTTTATGACAAAAGAACAATAATACAAAAAACAGCTTTTTGTCTGATATAACGCTGGAAATATGATATAAATAACCAATACTTCTTCAAATGGAATGCTGGGTTTCAGTCTGTGTTGCAGTAAAAGATAATAAATATCTTTTTATTTACATTTGGACATTGCCACTGCAGTATCACTTTATGGAGAGCAGTGCGATCCCAGCTCAACCTATGGCTGCGTCTTAACAATAGAACGCCTAGTGGCAATGGGTGAAGGGATATCCTGAATAGAGACGAATCACGCCCCACATACACATACACACACACACACACACACACACACATATATATATATATATATATATATATATATATATATATATATATATACACACACACACACTTTCTATACACACTCCCCCCTGCCTGAAGCGCCTCGATTAGAATCCTATGTTTGCTTCGGTAATCTTATGACATCACTATGTAACACTTGCGCTTCTATTGGCTAGCGCTCCAACATATAGTACGCGATAGGGCATACATCTCAGACATATCTCTATGCGGTTGACCAGTCACAACAGAGTCGACCAGCTAACCTAT